ACTTTCTAAGTACAAAGTCATTGCTTTTTAAAGCAAAACGAAAAGATAGTCCTCTCTGCAACTTCAATAACACTAAAAAAGATACCACCGTACATCTGTTTTATAAATGTGATGAATTCAAAAATCCGAATCAAGTTATTCTGCATATAAATACCTGTTGTCATGTTGGCATTTTCTTGATGTTTTCTATACACAAGTTACTTAATAGTTCATTAATCTATCTGTGTATCACAGGATATGTAACGTATATTGAACGTATTAAACAGATCCGCCACACCAGAAGCTTCTAATTTCAAAATTTCATCATATTTCAGCTTTCTCGAGAAAAATGCTGCGCATTTTGTTATTTTCAACATGAATACTCCTCGATAGGTTTGTTTTTATTAGTTGCGCCGAATTTTAAGTGAAACAGCACTGTGTATGCAAATAATTGTACACCAACACAGACGCCTTCATGAAATATCTATCAGAAATGCACTGAAAGGATTACGGTGGGCGTTTCTTTGCCTTAAAAGGAGACATTCAAACGTTTCTATGTCCAACAGACATGCGGAGTAAATGTCTTGTCGTGAAACACTCCCCGTGTGTGTATGGTCCCCTTAATCATGGCTGTGTGTATGGTCCCCTTAATCATGGCTGTGTGTATGGTCCCCTTAATCATGGTTGTGTGTATGGTCCCTTTAATCATGGTTGTGTGTATGGTCCACTTAATCATGGCTGTGTGTAGGTCCCCTTAATCATGGTTGTGTGTATGGTCCCCTTAATCATGGCTGTGTGTATGGTCCCCTTAATCATGGCTGTGTGCACGATCCCCTTAATCATGGTTGTGTGTATGGTCCCCTTAATCATGGCTGTGTGTATGGTCCCCTTAATCATGGTTGTGTGCACGATCCCCGTAATCATGGCTGTGTGTATGGTCCCCTTAATCATGGTTGTGTGCACGATCCCCTTAATCATGGTTGTGTGCACGATCCCCTTAATCATGGTTGATGCCGCAATGGTGGTAGTGACGATGGATGTAAAAATAATTCGACAATAAACTGATATTGGATAGGTCGTGATCTACGTTATTTTGATAATTGTTGGAATGTGAACATAGGACGGATGTAGGATAAATAGTCTGATGTAATCTCATCTTCTCACATGCCCATCCATTAATTTTAGAGATTGCGAGTAAGCGTATGGACGTAGCATGCGGAAATGAACAAAGCAAATTCCGGTCTGCGCCTATGAAATAGACATTATATTACACTAATGTAAGTTCCGATGGGAGAGCATGAACATGTAATGTGGTACGGCAATGTAATTTTTTGGGTATTTAAGTTAAGATATGCGCGTATTGATATGTTAGGTGATGTGGGAATGTAAATGTTTGGTGTGTGCGTATGGACGTGCGATGTGACGAGGAACGTAAGTTTAGGTGTGAGAGTATGGACATGAGATGAGATGCGGGAATGTAAGAATGGATGTGAGAGTATAAACGATGTGGGAATGTGTGGGCCAATTTAAGAAGAGTTGTTTAGGTTTAACAATGGTAATTGAACGATTGAATTCTATATACAATTGTAAATAGAATACTGAAAATCAAACTCATTCACAAAATGTTGCCAGTACCTCCATTTGGTAATTTCTGGTCAGTCGCAACCATTAACCTTAATAACAATCAATGCTATTGATTGATCAAAAACAGGGAAGAAAATAATCCACTCGTCAGACACAGTAGATCTAATGAAGGCCACTACTAGTCTAGTCTTGTCGCCGATATAAAAATGAGCTTAAAATTGAAAATCGGTAATTGTTTACTCATTTTTGCCTCGGGAACAAGGAACACTGAGGTCAAAAGAGAGAGAGGATTGTCAGCATCACAAATCATGTAAGATCAGTGCCATCTACAACAACATTTATTTGGAGAAGGAAGACCATCGTGCGTTTTTAAAAGAAAATCTCCCAATCAAGATTCGTTGACAAACAAAACTTCCTACCACATAAGGTTGGGGCTAATCAACTCCCACGGCACCAACATATTGTATGTCACATGTGGTATAACACCTTTACGTGTTTTGATTGAATGATAGGGTGAACTTTGGCCAACAAGGGGGCTTGGGTATCTACGGAAATTGGAACGCCCAATAACTTTTTAAAGATTGTTCTCTGGGTTTCTTGTTTCTTTGCTTTGATGATACCAAACTAATTAATGTCTAGTGTTATATTTGGAATGAGTTATGATACATTGTATATCCATGTATTTCTAATACTGTCAGATTTGCTTATTAGCGGCATTGCAGCAAAAGTCATATCATTGCGCCCCAAATCATGACGTAAATAAAACACACGTGTGTATAGTACAGGACCATTCGACTTCGGAATAGCTATCACAATGCGGTAGAAACAGATCACAAAAATCCATGGTTGTTATATATGGTATTTTTGTCACATTCGTTCAAAAAGTTAAGTTATCAATCTTTTGAGAAAAAAGTACCCGGATGAAAGAAATACCATTTATCACAACCATTTGTTTATGTAACCTCTATAACTTCTTCTTTTCGTGAAAATACAGGTATCTGTGTTTCTTTGTGGTGTTCGAGACAGAAATACATAAATACATATGTATACGTCATTCCGCTACATTCTACTTCTTTTCAAAATTGCTTAATGCAAATAGACGAATAATTTGCTTTGTCCCTTTACGAAACTGGTTTTCACAAAAATTCGTTCTTATATTTGTTTATCTCTGCCTCTTGACTTTGTATATGTTAGTAATGTAAAAGGAAAATTGAGAAAAGGACCAAACGATCAGGACAGCCTGGTGATAGAATCTGACGTGTTCTTTACAGTTGCCAAGAGTGCGCTAATGTCATGTTTCACACCCTCATCACAGTTTCTCCAGGGTCACATTACAGATCTTAATTTCACCTTGATAAGTATTTAACGTGAGACGGTATAGCTGTTCTATATTGATGTCAACAGCGAATCTTAAGCATAGGACTGGACGTGTGCCGAATTACAATCTCTATTGATAGACGTGCCAAAAATACAACCCAGGCTGTTAAACCAACAACACAAACAAAATCATACAACATCAAACAGTATTACATAACATCAAACAATAACAGCGATAAAATGAAAATTTATCATTTTACATCCATAAGTACCATTACACGATCACAAAATAATTAGGAGGTTAGATATGCTTGATATATCTGTATAAATACCGAATCCATAAAGTGTTAATGTCGAGGTCATATTCACAGTGCTCGAGATCATGTTGTCAAAACCTGTTGATGTCGAGGTCATGTTGCTGAATCTTGTTAAAGTTGAGGTCATGATGACGATACTTGCTAATGTCGAGGTCATGCTGTCGAGTCTTGTTAATGTTGAGGTCATGCTGTCGAGTCGTGTTAATGTCGAGGTCATGCTGTCGAGTCTTGTTAATGTTGAGGTCATGCTGTCGAGTCTTGTAATGTCGAAATCATGTTGATGAGTCTTGTTAATGTTGAGGTCATGCTGTCGAGTCGTGTTAATGTCGAGGTCATGCTGTCGAGTCTTGTTAATGTTGAGGTCATGCTGTCGAGTCTTGTAATATCGAAATCATGTTGATGAGTCTTGTTAATGTCGAGGTCATGATGACGAGTAAACAATAGACACCGAAATGTCAAAGTCACGAGCTGATAAACGTATATCCTACTTAAAGATAGCGTGTAATAGATAGATGTATTAAAACGTTTGACCGTGTCACTACATCAAACATACAGTGTGGACTACAATTATGTTAAGTTGTAACACGTGTCACAACATCAAACATACAGTGTGGACTACAACTATGTTAAGTTGTAACACGTGTCACAACATCAAACATATAGTGTGGACTACAACTATGTTAAGTTGTAACACGTGTCACAACATCAAACATACAGTGTGGACTACAACTATGTTAAGTTGTAACACGTGTCACAACATCAAACATACAGTGTGGACTACAACTATGTTAAGTTGTAACACGTGTACAACTATGTTAAGTTGCAACATCAAACATATAGTGTGGACTACAACTATGTTAAGTTGTAACACGTGTCACAACATCAAACATACAGTGTGGACTACAACTATGTTAAGTTGTAACACGTGTCACAACATCAAACATACAGTGTGGACTACAACTATGTTAAGTTGTAACACGTGTCACAACATCAAACATACAGTGTGGACTACAACTATGTTAAGTTGTAACACGTGTCACAACATCAAACATACAGTGTGGACTACAACATTGTTAAGTTGTAACACGTGTCACAACATCAAACATACAGTGTGGACTACCACATTGTTAAGTTGTAACACGTGTCACAACATCAAACATACAGTGTGGACTACAACTATGTTAAGTTGTAACACGTGTCACTACATCAAACATACATTGTGGGCTACAACATTTGAAAGCCGTGTCACTATGACCAGAGAGCGACTGACAGGCACAGCTGAGACGTATCTATTCAATGTATAACGACGAGATCGTTGAACGCTATTGAGTTTACAATGGAAGTCTAAATATAAACGTTTGAACTATTGAATATTAGGGATTTATTAAATGTAAGGATTCGTGCAGCAATGAAATCTAACTGTTCTACGTTCATATCTATGTAAAGTGTACGGATTAATCACAAGTTCCCTTTCTGCTCAGATGTAAACGCGAAACGAAATTGTTTGCTTTCTTCTCATGGAAATATCCCGTTTATAAATAGGATTGAATTGGAAAATATGTAACGAATGTAAGGGACATTACGTCGAAGCAACTATTTCAGTTAATTACAATAAAACTTAACATGAAACGTGTATCCTAGTACTTATGGTTAACAACTTTATACTACAATGACAAGTAAATTCCGAAAATAAGTTTCGAATTACGAAATACTAAAATTCTCAATGCGTGTGTATATTGATGCGCTCATAATATATATATATATATAAATATTATGATGAGAAACAGAATGTCCGATACTTACACATGACGGGTCCTAGATACCAACGATCTTTTCCGTAAAACTCCACCATACCTGCCGGCTGGCATATAAGTAACACCTGGAGATCCGCAATACATAGGTTACACAATAGACAGTTCATGTGCGTGCGCATTTTCTTGTTGCGTATGATAACGGTGAGCACCAAGATGTTGCCGACAACCCCAACAATAAATATACACAGGTTAGCTATGGTAACATACCAGAAAATATAGCCGGGTAGTTCGGCCTCTGTCGAGTAGTTTGTGTAGTTCGCTTCATAAACTGTCCCGTAAGTTAAATCCGAAAAAGTGACATTAGAGAAACTTTCCCCATCCATTTCCATGATGACGATTTTAGATTCCTAAATTTAGCAATTTATCTCTTCAGAAATCGTGAATACAGAGTCGTCAGAAATTAAATACATCAATATCTAGCTAGTGAGGTGTTCAAGAGATGTCCACAGGCCAGTTTAGATCAGATCACGTGTCTGTCCGAGATGATGTTAAATATCCAAGAAACACTCGTCTTTCATAGAAACTGTGTTTGAAGCTTTGAAATACCCGGTGAGTTGTTCAATTCAGGTTAAGTGCCAAAAACGCGATCTTCAACTGCAGCGAGTTATGCAATAGCTTGTGTTTTATATAAAAAAAAACTGATAAAGTAACGATTTGAAGACAACTCCTGAGAATTAAAGGCATACCATAAGTGTGCGTTTCTAGAGATATTAACCTGAGTACGCTACTCCTCCTAGTGGTCAGACGCCACGCGCACAACATACATTTGTCCTGTCTGTCGCTGTATCGGTATCAGTGAATGGGAACTTGTAATAGGATGAAAAGGCGATTCATTCTCACACCATGCATTGTCGCATACGTGGGAATTTGTATAGTCGAGGAACGCACAGCCAATAATGTCACTGGATGGGAACCTGTAGACGAGGACGTATCAAGGCTTGCTTTATCACACGAGTTAATTACAAACTGGTCAATGATAAATTAGTGACAAATATTGAAACAAAATCATCTTATCAGTTTTCCTCATTATCGGATCTTCGGATAACATCCAGCCTTCTCCCACCTCCATTCTACATTCAATATTTGATTAATAGTGTACGTCTATTGTTATATCTCTCATCAGCCCAAAGACCTGATATATATCAAAAGGCTGATAGTGGGTTTCATATAAAGTCGTATACTAATCTTTTATCACATATTTTGGAAACAAATTAAACAATTCAACAATTTTGATATTATCTTCATATTTGACTTATGAACAAAACATGTTAACATTGCCCGTATCCTAAACAGGGAGCGTATCTTAATCACCTCACCCTCTAATACCCTATTTTTTCAGCGAAATAAATTCAAATTATTGTTTTGGAAATGTTAGCCACTGAAAGGAAGGGACCTGGTCCATATGTTCATGTACTTGACGGCTGCTAGCCACACTCTATATACATTCAAGTCAATTTTCGTTTTTCGTTCCTATTCTCCTTTCTCCATAAACGTAGTCGTGTGTTTCTTATCGATGTACTTAAATCCTTGTCTTTCCTCGATCAAAATTATCGGGGTCAACTATAATTGAACTCTGACATTTTTCCACGATTGGTTTTCCAATTATTCATTTACACCAACTCCCTGATAATCTTAACCAAAGAGAAAGTTAAATAGCAAAGGGTGAGCGATGCTAAATCTTACTGTGTAAAACAATGAAAATAGCACAATTTAAATTTTCTGAACTGCATTCGACGCAAAATATAGGTAAACTACTCTCAATAAAAGAGATAGTGCTGTTGTTTATCCACAGGTTTAAGTGCTTGTGGAAAAACATCAAATATATTTCGAGAGATACCTTAGTATTATTTTTATGTTTATTTATCTCATTTATTTATTTAAATCAACATTTTGTTTAAAATATATACTGTTTCTACATAACTCATCGTCGAGATTTGTTCTTTAAAATATGTTATCGTTTGTATCTATACCAGGCAGACTGATCACCTGTGCAGTACCTAGGATTAATAAAATATGTGATCCAGACATTATAGAAGCCTTAATATATGATTGTATGTTGATGCTGCATCAGCTCTGTCTGTAAAACGGTATACATACCAAACCACTTTCAGGAATAATTGTTTCAACAACAGGTCACGTGTTATCAATTAAATACGCACACCAAAGATAGCATCTTTATGTCCTTGTATCATTGATTGCTTATTATCAGAAAAGTGCATCTACATTCGTTATCTTATTGTTTGTAAACAAAATGGTTGGACATAACTTATTCTGGCTCATGGATTCCTCTTTATAAACGATTTCATGTGTGTGGAGTTGTCAATCTGTGTGTGGAGTTGTTAGTCTGGGTGAAGAGTTGTCACTCTGGGTGTGCAGTTGTCAGTCTGTGTGTGGACGGACTTGTCAGTCTGGGTAAGGAGTTGTCATTCTGGATGGGGAGTTGTTAGCCTAGATAGGGAGTTGTCAGTCTGGATGGGGAGTTGTCAGTCGGGGTGGGGAGTTGTAAGTCTGGGTGTGGAGTTGTCAGTCTGGATAGCGAGTTGTCAGTCTGGGTGTGGAGTTGTCAGTCTGGATAGCGAGTTGTCAGTCTGGATGGGGAGTTGTCAGTCTGGGTGGGGAGTTGCCTTCGGGGTGGGGAGTTGTCAGTCGCGTAGGGGAGTTGTCGTAGTGGATGTGGAGTTATCAGTCCTGGTAGAGAGATGTCAGTCTGGATGGGGAGTTTTCAGTCTTCGTGTTGGGTTGTCAGTCTGGATAGCGAGTTGTCAGTCGGGGTGGGGAGTTGTCAGTCTGGATAGCGAGTTGTCAGTCTGGGTGTGGAGTTGTCAGTCTGGATAGCGAGTTGTCAGTCGGGGTGGGGAGTTGTCAGTCTGGATAGCGAGTTGTCAGTCGGAGTGGGGAGTTGCCGTAGTGGATGTGGAGTTATCAGTCCTGGTAGAGAGATGTCAGTCTGGATGGGGAGTTTTCAGTCTCCGTGTTGGGTTGTCGTCCGGTTGGGGAGATGTCAGTCAGGGCGAGGAGTGCAGAAGGAACCTTGATTACTTTCGTACAGTTCACGTTTGACCTTGACACCAAAAGATTGTACAACAGTATATAAGAAGCAGCAGCTGTTATAGCTAAGGAAAGTACAGAGTTGTTCTACAAGATATCCAGAGCTTAAATGTTAGATAATTTTAATAAAAAAAATCTTTAGACATTAATTCAAGTGACTTTACTATTTGATAAATGTTTTGATAAGATGATTTTTGTTTCTCTAACCTATTTTCAGAATCTTACACATGCTATTTGTCCATCTTAACAGATAATCGTTTCTCTATAAATGTTCATTCTTTTTCTTGTTTATCTTTTCATGAAGTTAAGATTTCATGGTTAGGAATCACTTACCTATCCTATTATCTACATATTTTATATGTTTATAAACAAGATTAAACAACTCTGAGAATGATAAACCGTTTCCCCTGGGTATTCTGTTTTCGAACGTCATTAATCTTCACTAAGATGATTTGAAAGCAACCCTTGTTGAATAACACATGTACTTAATTATACAATTATTTCCTGGAGTGTTTGCTTCTACGGCTAGATAGTGTTCGTACTAGATGGTACCATTACATTTTTGTTAGGCAAAATCCCACATTACAATAACAATATTTACACAATTTTAGAACATGTTCTAAACACTCGCTCCAGATTTGTCTATGTTAACGAAACGCCCTTTCTTATATTTTACGCGTAACGATAACGTTATATGAACTTTGATTTCAGAACATTGCACTGGATGAGCGATTTAAATTCTGAGCTTTATTATTCCGGAAGCGATTTACAAAGACAACTGGAAACAATTTGACGAAATTAGAATCTCACATATCCATAACCGTCAATATCTACTTTATTTAATTATTTATAAAAATGTAATCGTTTTTTCGTTAAAAATGATAAATAAACAAAGAAAATATCGACACGTTGACAGATTCATAATTCAATTACAAATTAGATGAAACTAGCTTTATATATATGAATAAAGAAAGATTCACAAGGAGACTCGTACAAGGTACAAGGATGATAAGACAATGTGTTCCGGAAGAGTAACCGTCGTCTGCTTCGTCATGTAAATCTTGATCAATCTTAGGAAATAACGTCACGTTCTCAAATGAGAACAAGGTATACAACAACGTAACCAACAAGAAAACTAGCAAGCAGCAAACACGTCCAGCTTCTTATCACACAAAGAAATAGCGTATTTCTTAATGAGAAACAATGTAATTATGACCACCGTAAAACGTCCCCACAATCCTCGTCAACCGAAACCTCTTGAAAACTGTATTGTTAGTTTGTCAGCTGCCTACATTTCGCATGAAAATCTTGATACTTGGAACAAACCCTTGAATATCGAACCAACTGCAACGTGTGAAACAGGTTGGGGATGCGGGACTGTTGCTACCGAGAAAAGAAAAAAAATCATGATAGGGAAATTGAAATGATTACGTTTATCATACATTTTGATGGGAAGCTGTCCATGTTGGTGTCGTTGTAGGAAAAGATCGAGGTAAGCGGCTTATGTACATGTAGAAGACTTTGTCTTGTCCATGATTTCTAAATCTGACAGGTATATGATTAACTTGGTCAATAAATCTGTTTAAAGACAGGACGCCATTAATATAACGGAGGACATGGTATTATCTTTGTCACATATGTTGATAAGCTCTTTGATAAATTAAGCCTCGCATAAAGATAAAAACAATAGATTTTCGAGAAGGATCAAGTTTGTTCCTATATATATACCAATAGTTTGTTGAAAGATCGTACAGCCTTGATATATAGGGGGCAAGAACGGGGGTCAAGTAGTTCCGTTACCTTACTTACAGTCAATGAACATGTATATCAATCAGAAAAGAAAAAGTACTTATTGATAGATGTCACCCATAAGTTGCTGCATTTGACCATATTTATATGCCGTGCTCTGAACTCTGACCTTGTTTCATATCATATATGTCGGTATCAAGTTGGTTAACATTATAAAGGGACGTCATTTTTTGAGTCATCTGCATATGGTATGATTTTTAAATTACATAACATTTTGAGTGTACGTTTAAAATATTTTACTGTTTTACCATTGTATTATTCAGTTTGAGTGTACCTATTGAACGTTTTACTGTTTCGCCATCGTATCATTCAGTTTGAGTGTACCTATAGAAAGTTTTACTGTTTCGCCATCGTATCATTCATTTTGAGTGTACGTTTAGAAGATTTAACTGTTTCGCCATCGTATCATTCAGTTTGAGTTTGAACTCGGATTCTTTTGATGTGTCCATAGTTTCTTCGTTGTTCTCACAAA